GTGGTAACGGTGGTGGCGGCGGCGGTGGTGGTCAACAAGGCGGCACAGCAGCGCCTCGTGGGGACTGCATCTCACCAGCATGAGGACTCGCTGATGGCCCATCAGCCCTTCGGCGCAGGTCAGCCTGCAGAGCAACCAGGGTGATAGGGTTGGAACAACTCCAAACGGAATGCGAAAGCAGCAGATCTGACTCCAAGGGCTGCATCCCCAAGCCTGGCTGGCCACCCACCTCTTGCGCTCGCCACCAGACAGGCCCCGCACCAGCACGTCCCCAACCTGAGTCATGGTCACAAATATCGAGTCGAGTAAGATTGGTTGTGTGGTGCAAACGGGCTCGGGCGGACCATGCTGAAACCAGAAGACGTCCGGCCTTGGCGACCATATAGAATAGTGCTCAACGCACTGCCTGCGCCAGATGTGCGCCGCCTGCTCACCAGGGAGTTGCGCACGTGGGCCAGCCCCATCCAGCGCATGATGAGCTCGACCTTCATGCCGCTGGTGCCACACAGATCGGTGAGCAGCGCCTCCACCTTGGGGGTAAGGAGGGTTTTCAGGGGTGGCAGTGGAGGAGGGAGGGGGGGTTGGGATGCAGGGGGCGGGGCAACAGAAACAGCACGTCTTGGTTGCGCAGCTCTTCACAAGTAAGCGTTCTAGCGCCTTCACGACAACAGTTGCTGGGATGCCCTCGATTCGTACGTATACATCAACACCACCTTGACCGCATATCCGCCTCGCAAGTGTGCCGCCCACCTCGTCTTCCTCCAGCTGCGCCCTCACAGTCGCCTTGAGCTGGTCTGCATTCACGGCCCCAGGGCCGCCAGCCGGGGTGGGGCTAGCGGCGCGCAGCTGGTGCAGGTCGGCTCTTGACTTGTTGAGCTGCGGTATTTTTGTGGCGCCGCATGCGAGCTTGAGTCACACAGGGCATGCCGGGGGAGTGGCGGCACTTGCCATTGGCGTCGAAGGAAGCAAATACCTCTCGCACAGCAGCACTTGAATCAGCATGTGCAACGTCGCTACATAATCACCACACTATTTCCCAACAACATTACAGCTGTTGCCCACCTTGGCCTCCCGGATGTGCTGCTGCATGTCAAAGGAGGGCGTGTCCTGGCCGCTCTGGCACACATGCGCAAAGGACAGTGTCTCCGACACAGTCAGGTTCCCCACGTGGTTGTCCCTCTGAAGGATGGGCGGTGAGGGGGCACGGGAGGATAGCCGAGGATTTTTATTGTGGAGGTGCATAACCCCAGCCATCAGCACAGTGACGTGGGAGGGGCGTGCAGGCGCAGCAGAACGCCTGTTCACGCCCAGCATGTCGCCGCGGCAGTCATACCTGCTCGACAAACGCCACGGCGCGCTCGACGGCAATGTCGTGCTTTGAATGGCCGTTGTACAGCACCTGCAATGCACCATGACGTCGGCGCGGGGAGGAGCGCTCAGTAGGTGTTCCAGCAGTGTTCCCCCATACCTGCATGGCCCACGCATGCAGAACCCATGCAGTTGGTTGCGCAGGACGGTCGGATCTCGTGTTGTGCTCCAGCGCTCACCTCCCCCTCCACTTTGAGAGAGCCGCAGCCCCTCAGCCGGTGGGCCAGCACCCGCATCAGCGTGGACTTGCCGCATCCCGGCGCACCAAGGAGCAGCGTCGTGCGCCCCTGCAGAGTTGCGGTGTTCGGCATGTCCAAGATAAGGGGCCTGCAGTGACATGCCAACACAAAGCAAGCGCCTACAAGCAGGAGACTAAACAGAAGTGTGAACACGGGAATAGGGCAGCCCATGCGTGCGCCGCTCACCGGCTTGATGACGCCACTGAGAGGCCCACCGGGGCCGCCCAGGACGCAGATCTCCCTGAGAGCCTGCCCGCCCCTGCCCACCAGCCTCTGCACGCGCGCGTGGGCGTCGGTGGGGTTGGCAATGGACCTGACGTGCTACACGATGGTGCAGCGCTGGCTTGGTTGCTTGGGGAAGCTCATACGCGCATACCACACTGGATGCACCAGGGGCCGTCAGATAGGGCAGCTGGCAGTGGCTAGAGGCAGGCAGTAATTGCAACATGTGAGCGTCCGCACCCCACCTTGAGGACCCCCATGGGGATGCTGCCGACAGTGGAGATACCGGCATTGCCCACGAGCGCTTCGGTCGTCACACGCACCCCACGAAACTCAAGCTGCATGGGAGGGGCGGGCGGGAGCGAGGCGTGGCGGCGAGGTGTAGGCAAGTGAGCCCTTCACTGCTCACCACGAGCGCATGGGATGCGAGCGGCATGACCCCACCGGCCTGGCAACAGTAGCGGGGTGCTTGTGCAAATGCAGCCGGGGCCATGACAAGCCCCCCCTGGTTGCCTCCGTCTGTTCCCCCACCTGGACTGTTGGGACCTCGATGCCGTGCTCCTGCAGCTTGGTATGGACGCGTGACAGCAGCTTGTGGCCGTCCTTACGCAGCACCCTGGCGCGCGGTGGGCGGGTGGGGTG